TATTCCCACCTCTAAACTTGTATGTTAAAAATACCTGTTTTTGAATCCAAGCGTTTCGAAACCAAACCCATGTCTTTGTTGATGATATTTTAACTACTAATTAGTATCATGAAACCTGCGTCCCTTCTTTTTCCCTATCATTATGAAACCTAAATAAAATATGTTGTGGAATAGACCACAATGATCACCGGAACTTATATTTCACTTATATATCACCTGAATACATTATGCAAGAATAAGTCATGCTCTGCACTGGGTTTCAGCTCTGTAAATATATGTTTGGCTTGTGTAATTTTCACAGCAGTTTTATATAAAACATATATGTTTTAAGGTGAAAGTTTTGCAGCAGCAGGTCGGCCCTTAAACCAGCCTACTAGATCCCTGACATGCATAGAGGCTTTGTGGGTAGATGGGTATATTATGATTAGACCTAGTTATCCACAATTCTGATGCACTGTCTGCTTAAAAGGAGCAATTAAACCATGAATAAAAGCTTCCTGGGAAACTGTTGCTTCATTTTGGAAAATAGAAAACAAAATCAAGAAGACTTTCATATATATAAGCAAGACTGACTCCTACCTGCAAACATCAATGGCGTATCCATAAGGCATTGGATCCATAGTTTCTTTGCCGGGCTCAAAGTGACTGACATTAAAGTAGGACAGGGTATGGTTGACAAATCCATGCAAAGAGCCATCAGGGCTGTACATATACAGGTACACCATCCGAGGGATGAAGTCTGATGTGAAGGAGATGACAAATGCCTAGAAAAAGGGGTGGACATTTAGATTTTAGTTAGACAACAGGAACTGAATATATGGCTGAATCCTCTTCTTTTTCAACATCATTTATACTTTTGATAAACAGAGGGGTCTATCAACCAGATAGACATTACTAACAAGATCCAATTGATTGTGATCCATATTGAGCCAATTTAAAAGCACTGTAATGAACAGAAACTTTTCTTCACCAAAGACAAGGGGTCCCAAACTAAAATCGTCGACGGCCAATGGATTCCATGTATGAGATCTGTCTACAGCCATTTACATCAGAAGCAAAGGACTAAACTGCTTCACTAGCATGAGTTCCATCTCTGCCGTTCAACTAATCATTGAGTCAGATGTGTCAAAGCATGTAAAGGTTGAAGGACACCGGCCAAAGGCTCAAAAATGTTGTGTTTAGACTAATTCCTGGCTCATCCTTACTCTGGTATGGCTGCGTTCATGATCCAGGTTTGCAGCGCATTGATGACGCAGCCAGCTGAGCCCAGATCAACTCTACCAAAGGACACAGCAGAGGTTCAGGCTTTTTCCTAGAGTGCGGGTGCTAAACATGTTATCTGTGCTCATAAACATCCATTTTAATTCTCCAGTAGCGCCTTTGTT